AGGGAACCTGCTGGGGGAGGGAGGGGCATACCTCCTCCACAAGCGTACCCGCAGGATCAGTGTTTGTGTACCTAACCCTGAGTTGTACCCCACATCTTTATAATAAATAAATACATCTTTAAAAAGTTTCCAAAAAAAAATCCGTAGACATGGCAGTAATTTTGTCAGGTGAGATGCATCAGTAAATGGAACATCTGTGGTGAAGAAGATGAGGGGGAAAGGGTTATTTGCATCATCTCAAATCATCTCCCCCAAGTTATTTATTAAGGACAAAGGGAAAAATAGTAACTTTACGACGAGCAAATCGAGCAGAAACCACCTTAACCAAGTTATCAAGGTCAACGTTGCCAGTAAGAAGACACACTGACATCACGTCCCTCCTGTTAGGAGATGCTGGGAAGGGCTTATCACTTCTGTGGTATTCTTCCCAGAAATGCACAGGCTCAAGTCAAGCATGGAAAACCACCAGACAAGCCCAAAGTGAGGGGAATTCTACAAAATTCCTAACTAGGACTCTCCAAACGTGTCACGGTCCTGAAAAGCAAGAAAAGACTGCGAAACTGGCACAGATGTAAAGAGACGAAGGAGACATGAAAAGTAAACAGAAAGGAAACAAGACATTAGTAGAGAAGCTGGTAAAATCCCAGCGATGTCTGTAGTTTAGCTGAGCATTGTACTGACGTTAATGTCTTACTTTTGATAATCGGACCAAAGTAGTGCAAAATATTAGCATTAGGGGAAGCTGGCCAAAGAGTATATGAACTCGCTGTACAAAAAGTAGTATATATATAATATGTTTTATAATATATATGATAAAAAAGAATCTTCTTAGCAAATTCTAGTGTTAAAAAAACTCCTCAGGAGATTCTAATATGCAGCCAGGTTAGAGACGATTAAATTTGTAAGCACTGCTAAGCCTTCATGCTTAGTTACGCAATCTCCTCCCCACCTCCATCAGCCCTCTGAGGGAGGTATTGCTGCTCCCAGTTTACAGGGGAGCGTCTGGCACTGAGACAGGGAGTCCACCTGGCTCTCAGTGCACAGCCTCACCCATGGCCCAGCCAAGCTGCTAGACTTGGCCATGCCAGTCTAGAACACAGTGCTCAGACTCCACATTGACTAACTTATTGCAGATCCATGATGCCTCTACAAGAGAGTGTCTTAGTCCACTCGATGTGGCTATAATAACACCTGGGGCTGGGTCATTTATAAAAGATGGAACATACTGTATGATCAGTGACTCTGATGACTGAAAAGTTCAGGATTGTGCGTCTGCGTCTGGTGAGGGACTCGGGCAGCTTCCGCTCATGGCGGAAGGCGGAGGGGAGCAGGTGTGGCCAGAGACCCCATGCAGGGAGAGGGGACAGAAGAGAGAGAGGCAGTGCCAGGACTTTTTAAACAAGCAGCTCGATCAGTTCTCGCTCAGGAGCTAACAGAGCAAGCATTGTCTCCTCGCCCCCACTCAGGCAGGGCATGAATTTATTCTTGAGGAATTCGCCCCCATGACCCAAACAGGTCCCACCTGCAACACGGGGGACCACATGTCAACGCGAGATTTGGTGGGGACAAACACACCATATCCAAACCATAGCAGAGCGGTACAGTGATGACTCTTGTTTTATAGGTGAGAAGATTCATACACAGAAAAGTTGAAAACATTTCAGGGCCAAGATTTGGACCCAAGCCGGTTGACTCCAGACCCTGCACTCTGAAGAGTGACGTTCTGTGTCTTGGAAAAACTCCTGCCCCTTAAGGCGGAATTTCTGCAGTGATGGCACCCCAGTTCCTGCTGGCATCGA